TTTCCTAAGGGAACAGGAGCCTCGAGGGCACGCAGGACGGGAGCTCTTGGAGGCAGCTCATCCTCAGTATAGTCAGGTTTTGGAGTTCATTTATTCAGCAGCTCCTTATAGCCTTCACAAATGGATGCTGCTAAGTACAGAGACGTGACCGCTCTGGAGCTCAGTTATTTACAGCTCACTGCAGCTGACTTACACCGCCTCTGTCAGCAGGGCCGAGGGGGGAAGGAAAACCTTCTGGAATGAGAGCGAGGAGATAGAAAAATCCCTCCCTGCTTTTTTTCCCCCTGTTGTTACAAACTCTGAGCCTGTCCCAGCCTGACGTGTTGATAAACGTGGGTTTGGGGGAAATCTGGGAAGCAGCAGGAAGATATCTGTGGTTTTAGGTGGGGACTGTGTGGAAACATGGCAGGAGCTTCTCCTCGCTTTGATCTTAAAATGTGCATTTAAAGCTAAAGCCAATTCTCCCTGGCCAGCTGAAAACAAAAGAGCTTTTTGGCCTCACTGTGACCAGCTCTGTCCTCACAGCATTTACACAACGGGCTCTGTTGAGCATTCTCCTCTTGGCCGCTCTTTGCCTCTAATGTCGGAAACAAAAGAACCCTTCATGATGTTAAAAATCAAATGTCCTCGTGAAATGTCTCAGTTACTGGCTGGGTCTGGTTTCCCCAGTCCCCCAGGGAAAAGGATTTGCGGGATTTGCATCTCCACGTGTAAGTATGGGAGATGCAGCGGGAGAGACGTCTTCTAGGAGCGCAGTCTCTGCACCGCTCCTTGGCGTTACCAAGCCAAGCCTTGGCTGTCGGCGTCTGCAATGTTCACCGCTGCAGAAGGCAAGGCCTCGTGGGGAAGGCAGAGCTCCTGGAGAACATTGTGAAGAGGTGCTGGAGGGCGAAAGAAAGGTGGTGCCATGCCTGCGAAGGACTGTCAGAGCTGAGGCAAGAGGCAGGAACAAAGTGCAGGCATACGAGTCGTGCTCTCAGGAATGACGAATCTCTTGGGCTGGCGCTCTCCTGGCTGCCCACGCCTGTACTCAGCCCACGGCCACGGCCAACCCAGTGGTGTCTTTGGAGCTGCTTTGACTGGCAAGTGCTTAAAGCTCCCTGGGTTTTTGTTTTCATTTGGTTTGGGTTGTTTTTTTCTTTTAATAGAGGGCTCATTTTCACGCTGACTACCAGATATATGTGGCTTGCAGCTACTCAAGCAGGCATTGCAGCCAGTTTGCAGTTCTCAGTTGCTTCATCCCCGTGGTTTATTTAGTGTTTCTCGTCTCTCCACCCAAGGTGGAGCTGCCTGCTAAGGTGTTTTCCTCTAGGTCTGTTCTGCAGGAGCAGCTCTGTGGTCGTCAGGAAATGTTTGGGCATCTCTAAGGATAGTTGGTTTTGTGGTGCAAGGGACGACTTGTCTCTAGGCTCATCCATGCTAACTGGGAGTGGGGAGGAGCGAAGCCAGGCGAAGGGCAGCCTGGCCATATGCAGTTAACTTCTCTTTCTTCTTGTGCTGTATCACCATTGAATTTCTTAAAGCGGCTTTGTCTTCCTCAACTTTTCTCTGCTCTTTGCCTGTCTCATTCATTTCTGCCTGGCTCCATTTCCTCCTTTGGGTCCTCGATCCCCTCAGCTGCTCATCCGGCTGCTTTTTAATCTGTTCACCTGCCCTGCTCTCCTTTCGCCCCTTATGCAGCTCTCTCCTGCTCCACACTCGACGCATTCACCGGCAGCATTTTCTCTGCAAGCTGTTTGTCCAGCCGTGTGATGGGCAGAATGTTTGCAGGGTGCTTGTCCTTTGCACTCCAGTGCCTGGTCCTCACCAAGGGGTGACCCCTGAGGGGTGGCACCTGAATCTCCCTTGGATGCTGGTGCTTGCTCAGCCGTGTCACTTGTTCACTTGATTCATCCAGATTTGAAGGGATGGGAAGGGGAGAAAAGCCTCCCAGCCATCAATCATCCTTAAGCCAGCCCAGACTGAGATGTGCAGTCCAGCTCTCATGTAAAATTATTGCACCTTCCCTCCTACTCCTCCTCTTCTTCCTTCTCCTCCTCCTCCTCCTTCTCCTCCTTCTTGCTTAGCACTTTGCTTCAGCATCCCAAACCTTCCCATTTCAGAGCAGGGCTTGTCTCTGGCTGAGGTTGTGTTGCGCAGGTGCTGTAGGGTGAGCCTCTTAGCAGTATCAATTGGGGGGAGCTTTAGATTACAATAAACTCAGTTTTATTATTGCAATGGTGAGGGCTTAAAGCTCCTTAACGCCCTTCCCTTGGCTTGATAACTCGTTGTCTTATCTCGAGCCGGACTGAAGTGGCTGCCATGGTGGGGTCAGCGTGGAAGCCTTGCAGCCATCCAGAAACCTTGCCCAAGGGTCGGGGGGGCCCCTCACCACCCGATCCCCCAGCGGGTCCTGAATTCTCACCCGTTGCCATAGGATGCTGTTGCCTAAGCGCTCCGAGGATTTGGGGGCTGCAGAGGGACTGCTCAAGGAGGGCATCCCCCGGGCAGGAGCCACTAGTGATATCCCATGGCTTTCATATGCAGACTGCTAAATAAGTAGCTAAATTCTGTTTTGTTAAAAAACAAGAAAAAAAATAAAACAACAAAAAAAAAGCAAAGCCTCACTCTTTTGCACAGAATTATTCACGTGTAGCAAAAAATAGAGCTGGTATGCGATGCCTGCCTGCAGTGTACTCCAGGAGCTGCAAAGGCACTAGCTGGCACTTTGGTAGCAAGGGAAAGATATTATTTATAGCCAGGCTCTGTAAATCATTCCTCGAAACGTTCGTTTTTTTTTCCTTTGAGCCTGATCCCTCTTCCCTTTCTAGCATTACTGTCCTTTTCCCTTTCCACTTGCTAGCAACATTGCACTAATTGTGCACAAATTTGTAGGGAAGTAGGCAGCATCTCTTCCTTCTCTGGTCCCAAACCAGAAGGCACCGTGTAGCAGGGACGTGTACTCAGAGGGAATTAAATCAGTGCTGTGCAGCCAGAGATTAATTTCACCACACTTGTCCCTGCGCTCCATCAGAGATGGATATTGGTTTCCAAGCGTGGCCCCGTGCAGATAATAATAAGGGGTCCTTTGTTCAGCAGCAGCAAGGATCTGGCTGGGAGCTGTGGGGTTATTCCCCAACTTCCCCCACACCCTTACTCTTTTTGTAAACAGAAAAACTGGGAATTTAAAATCCAAAGACGTGTCAAGTGATCAGCAGAGAATAAATCTGAGTCCTTACTTATTTATGACTTACCTGGCATATTTTGAATAATTGATTTATGTAGCGTCAGGCACTTGGGAGGGTAACGGAGGATGATGCTGCAGGGTCAGAGGGATGTGAAGAGGGAAATAAAACCCTGAGAATGAGGCTTTGAAGAAGCTGGCCGAGAGTGGGGTTGCTTTGATGCCCAGCTTTGCTTTGGCAGATGCCCTCTGCTTGAAAAGCTGCGAGGGGACCACATGGTGGGGGGCAAGGGGCTGTCGGCCATGACCCGCCCCGGCAGAGCCTAACCCCGCTTGCCCTTTGCTTGTCTTCCAGCCCATCACTTCATCGCAGCGACGGCGTGCCAGGAGGCAGACTACGGCTGGATGATCCGGCACTACTGCCTGAAGCAGTTCCAGCTCAGCATGGAGGGCATCGGGCAGCGGCTCTGGTGTGACTGGGACGAGACTGTGGGGTAAGTGAGGTCCCTCTGCTCGCCCTTCCCTTCCCGGCGTCCTGGGACTGCCTGCACCCATCTTTGATTCTAGGGTGTAAGGAGGTCAGTGGTAGGTTTCATCTCATGGGGGGAACAAATGTGCCATTTCATTCCACTTTGCAAGTGCTGGTGCTGCCCTGGCTCCATCCCTGCTGGGTCCAGCTGAAGGGGCTTCCCCATCCCAGTTGCTTGTGGAGGGGCCACAAGGTGGGCTTGGAGGGGAGAGCAGCGGATGTTGTCTGCCTGGACTTCAGTGAGGCTTTTGACACCATCTCCCCTAAGATTGTCACAGACAAGCTGATGAAGGGTGGGCTGGGTGAGCAGACAGTGAGGTGGGTCAAAAACTGGCTGAACGGCCAGGCCCAGAGGGTGGTGATCATTGGACAAAGACTAGTTGGAGGCCAGCAACTAGCGCTGTGCCCTAGGGGTCAATGCTGGTCCAGTCCTGCTTAACCTCTTCATTAATGGTCAGGGTGATGGGGCGGAGTTTGCAGATGACACCAGACTGAGGGGAGTGGGTGACACACCAGAGGATCGTGCTGGCATCCAGAGGGACCTCGACAGGCTGGAGAAATGGGCTGAAAGGAACATCATGCAGTTCAACAAAGGGAAGTGCAAAGTCCTGCACTTGGGGAGGAGCAACCCCAGGCACCAGAACGTGCTGGGGACCATCCAGCTGGAAAGCAGCTTTTCAGAAAAAGCCCTAGGGGTCCTGGTGGACACCAGGCTGACTGTGAGCCAGCAACGTGCCCTGGCAGCAAAGAATGGTGTCTGGGGCTGCACTGGGAGGAGTGTTTCCAGCGGATCAAGGGAGGTGATCCCCTCTACTCAGCACTGGTGAGGCCACCCCTGGAGTGCTGGGTCCAGTTCTGGGCTCACCAGTGTGAGAGAAACAAGGACATACTGGAGAGAGTCCAGCGAAGGGCTGTGAAGATGCTGAGGGGTCTGGAGCATCTCTCCTATGAGAAAAGGCTGAGAGAGCTGCGGCTGTTCAGCCTGGAGAAGAGAAGGCTTGGGGGATCTTATTCAGGGATATAAATATCTGCAGGGAGGGTGCAAAGAGGATGGAGCCAGGCTCTTCTTAGGGGTGCCCAGTGACAGGCCCAGAGGCAATGGGCACAAACTGAAACACAGGAGGTTCCCTCTGAACATCAGGAAACACTTTTTCACCGCGAGGGTGACCGAGCGCTATCACCGGTCTCCCAGGGAGGTTGTGGAGTCTCCATCCTTGGAGATATTCAAAAGCCATCTGGACACAGTCATGAGCAACCAGCTCTAGGCAGCCCTGCTTGAGCAGCGGCATTTGGACAAGATGAGGTGGACGTCCAGAGGTCCTCTCCAACCTCACCATTCTGTGATTAAATGGGCTTTCAAGGAGCCCAACCTAAGCGGTGTTTGGAAATCAGGATGGTGGTCTTGCTCCATACAGTTATGTGTGTATGAAGAAACCACACACCCCGGTGGCAGAGCTTGAACAGGAGAAGACCACTTTTCTCACTGTCTGCTACATGCTGGGATTCAGTGTGTTAATAAGGCAGTAGATTGGGATCCCCGTCATGGCTCCATTACCTCTTCTGGCGACTTGCTGCTTGATGGACATATTTTCCATGACATTTTTCTTTTTTCTTAGCACTCAGGTTCTCCAGACAGTCCAAAATGCCCTAACTCAGCTTGAAAAACCCACAATCCACTGAGATGCTCTCAGACCCTATGAGAAAATCCCAGGCTGTCCCACTGGACCTGCTGGCTCGCCCGCTACTTCCAAAAGTTGCGTGTTGATTTTTCTTAGCAACTAGAGGGAGAGGCTGGCATGGTACGGCATGGCAGTTTTCTGCTAAGCCTCCTGTTTGTAATCAGTGTCAGGGAATTAGCGGTGATTTATGACTTAGGAGAACTGGAGATGCAGTCCGCTTTGCTGGTGGAGCGCTCGGCGACATCCTTCGGGGGGATAATGAGGCTGATAAGGGAACCCTACTTAATGCAGCAGCCTCAGGGAGAGCAGGGATGTTGCATATGGGGAACATGCTTCTCTGTAGGGTTTTTTTTTCTTTTTGGGCATTTCTTTTGGTTTTTTTTTTATTGCAAACCACCTAAACAATGCTCTCTTTGGATTAGCTCTTCCCTATTTATAATCAACAGAGCTGAGTTTTTTGGTACTGCCATGGTGTAAATCATTCTCCTGGTGAGATGGTTTTGATTAAAGTTGCAAAGTCTGGTCAGGGGTGTCTGTGTATTGGCGTGAGGGCCTGAAAAGAGAAAATAAAAACCTGTTTTCCACTCTGAGCTGGCTTTCTACGTTGTACAGCGTTGTTGTGCCGTGGCCTTTCTCCAGGAAAACAAAGTGGCGGACAAAAATGAGCTCTTGTGACACAGGGCGGGGATTGAGGTCAGTTGGAAATGGCGAGCAGATGTTGCCATATGCCATGAGTGTTTTGCACAAAAAATTAGAGTTTTTGCAAGATTTTGGTTGATTTCCTGCTTCATGCCCCTTTCTTCTGTGCTGCATTAAAATCTCTATATGTGTGTGTGTAAACATAGAGAGAGTGAGCGCGCTTTTGAAAAGGACAGCTTTGGTTTTCCTTCCCCTTTATTGGTGACAAAATGGAGGGGAAGAAAAGAGAGTGGAAAGACTATGGGAGGTTTTGTGGTTCTGAGAAACCTCATCTGGTCCTCACAAATATCCAGGGCTGCTGCCATTGCTCCAGACCCTGGCCACCATAGGGGTCTCTGCGGGACCTGTCCCCCTCTGTCAACACCTTTGGAGGCAGCATCCAGCTGTGGTCCAGATGTGGTGAGTGGCAGGAGAAGGGGATAACCACCTCCCTGGGTCTCCCGGCTGTGCTGGGGGTGCACTCCCACCCCTGCAGCCATCCCAGCAGAGCTGTCCCCAACCCGGGCTGTCCCCGTGCAGGGGCTGAGTGTGTCCCAGGGGCAGGGCTTTGCTTTTGGTCCTGGCTCGGTGCTATCTGCAAGCCTGATGAGATGCAATCCATCTCCTCCTCCAGGCCTTTAGCGAAGCCATTGCACAGGAAGCGGAGGTGTATAAAGAGCTTGTTCTTTATCTCCAACATTCTGATTTTCTTCTAAACAGCTGCTGCTAAACTTGTTATCCTTGAGGCACTTGGAGGAAATGTTGATAAACTTGCAGTGTTTAATTTGATTGCGTGAGTCCATTTGCTCCGTGCAAACACAAGGCTTGGGTTATTTAAGAGATGACATTCCTCTGATCCTTCTGTGCCCTCAGGACGCTGGAAGAATCACGTAGCAATAGCTCAGCCTCTGCTGTAAATAAGCTGCTCTGCAAGGATATGGGTTTTGGGTGGCCACCTTGCTCAACACCCCTGCTCCCTGGGTGTGCATAGGATTCATCATCCCCTTTTAGCAGAAAAAGTACTGTTAGGAGACGTCCCAGCAGGAGTGGGCAGGGGGTGGCATAGGCTGGCAGGTCGCCCCTCTGGCTTTAGAGGAAAGGACTTGACTTCCACCAGGTGTGAGACGAAGAAATGGAAATAAACCACCTCCCTAGAGCCTTGTCTCCTTTCCATATCTTCCCCCAAACCGAGGAATTTGATGCTTGAAACCTGTCCAAAACGAGAATGAGAAATATTTGAAGTTTTTGCCTCTGACAGGTCCTGTATCATCAGCAGCATCGGTTTTGGACCTGTGATTTCTTGCATACAGCATTTAGCAGAGAAATGCCAGTTAGGCCCATCATTTACTGCTCAATTGAGAATGACATGATGGGAACATCTGGATAAATGAGTTGTCTCAGCAGAGTTTGTAATTGTGGTTTAATGGTCCTATTTAGAGGCTGCAGATTATCCTCTCTTCTTACCCTCAGAAGTATTAACTGAGCTCCTGCATTGCTGGTACTGATGAGTTCAGATGTAACAGAGGAGTCTCTTTGGGCCAGGAGTGTTTGCTGAGGTTGGGCTTGGACCATGTGAACAAGCACCAACTCGCTGTGGTTTGTCCAACACTGCTGAGCTCTGCTGGCTTTCTCAGCTGTGCTTATTTGGGGAAAGTTGATGGTTTTTGATATGCAAAATCATGTACCGGGGAACTTGTGTGAGCCGTTACACGCTTCAGGAATGGGATGCCGGGTGGTTTTAATAAAAAGTTCCAGAAGTTGGCCCTGAATGCTGTCTCCTGGGAAGGGAGGAGGACTGCTCTGAGAGGTGTTTTCCCTTGGGTCGTCTGGTTTCCTTCCCTCTCTTCCTCCCCAAAGGCCAAGTGATCCGGGGTGGCCTCGGATGCTCCTGCTGGAGCTGCGCGTGCTGGTGCCTGCTGGGTCAGCTGCCCACCTGCCTGCTCACGTGCTGCAAGCTGGCCTCAGCCCCTCCGTGGTCTTGCCCCGTGGATCCCTGGCCTGAGAGCAATTTAGACGAAGCACCCCGGTGCTGTTTTCCAGGGCTTGCAGCCACCCTGTTATTTAAAGTTGGAGCTGTATCATGGTCTCCTCTGCTTCACAGTGATGGCCGAGCTGCTTTGACCGGGAGCTCAGCTGTGCGTTACCAATTATCCTGAAGATCAATTTGGCTATTTTGATTCCAGGTCCAGGTTCATCGGCGCAGCGACTGAGCCAGGGGATTAGCTGTGGTCTCCCTTGGGGCAGCTATTTTGGGGAGGCAGAGTGCTGCAGGGAGAGCCGGAGCTGCTAGAGGGGTCAGGCTGCCGGCCGCTCACCCACAAATGCATCAGCAGGAGCTGATGACTTGTAGATACTTTTCCTGCATGGTTTTAGCTCGCCAGTGGGCTGTGGCTGGGGTACGGCTTGGCACGGCAGTTTTGGCACAGTGTTGGTGCATTGGGCAGCAGTGAGCAGGACGGGAGGATGCTCGCTGTGCTGAGCAGTGCTGCAGCTGCGGGTGTCACTCCAGCTGAGCCAGGCGCCTTCATCCCAAATATATCCGCCCTGTGGCATGCCTAAAAATCTCCAGGGAATGCTTTCCCGTCGCCGTGGGCATCTTGTGGGGAAGGAGCTCACCGGCGTGGGGTTTCGCCTGCCAGTCTGACAGCTGCAGCTGGGTCCAGAAATGTGCCGATGCTGCCGGATCCCGGCACGCCTGGTACCCTGCCCTGCTCCTAGCCCCGCTGCGGGGCTGCTCTCACAGCTGTGAATACACTCACAGTGTGTCTTCAGGTTATTTATCCATTATCTTATAGACAACAGATTGACCCATTGTCCTATTATCTCAATATCTACTTACTTACCTTCAGGTTGCCAGATCCTTTCTGGATACCCCTTTATCACGTCTCCAGGCTCCTCCTGGAACCTTGCAGAGGAAGAAATCAATTTTTGCTTTTAATTTACAAAGCAAAAGGAAAGCCTTGTGGTATTTTTTTTTTCCCTTCTGAAGCTAGGGATTTGGGAAGGATAGGAAAAAATCCTGATACTCGTGGCAAAAGGGAGAACTGGCAATTCTGTGAACCCTAACTGGTATCTGTAGCGTAACACCGTCCACACCAAGGTGCTGGCAAGGAGTAAATGGCAGATCAAATTCCAGTCTCAGTTGCAGTGGTAAAAAACCCAGAGGCATTGCTTAGGATTTACAGCGGTGTAAGCATTCGGATCCCGTCAAACAATAAATCAGTCCTCGATTGCTTCCCACCAGCGACCCAGCCCCATCCCCGTCCTGCCCGCAGGCGTTTGTCCCCACGTTGTCCCCTTGCTGCTCCACCTCCTCCTGCCACAGCATCCTTTAAACTCAAACCATTTCCATGGCAACGAGAAAAACAGTTTTAATTGCAGTTCACATTGGGTAGGGGGAAAAAATATTTAGAACTAAGCAAAGCCGTTACTTTTCAGGGCAGGCTGCCTGTCTCCCTGCCCTCAGCCTGTGGTGGTGGGATGGCTTAGGAAAACATGCCGTGTTCCTGGTGCTGTCCTACATCAGCTCAATAATCACAATTTTTTAATCTTTTTTTTACTAATTAAAGCTAGTCTTTTAAGGCATTTTTAAGGATTTTAAATTAAGATGCTGGTATTTAAGGCAAAACCGAGGGAGAGGAGAGGGGCAGGAGGAGGTGGCATGGGTGCAGACCACTTCTTCTTTCCCTCTGCCCCATGTCTGGTGGTCTCTGGGGACACGCTGACCATCATGGGGAGCTAAGGATGCCCTCCATGCTCAGCACTTCTCCAGCTGCAGGCATCCATCCATCCCCCATCTTGGGCAGGCGAGCCCCCGAGAGCTGCTGGTCCCAGGGGAGCCCTCACTGGTCTGTGGGTGATTTTTTTGGCACCAGGAAAGATCCCAGAGAAGTCCAAGCCCAGTTGGGAAAAGGGAGCATGACTTGGGGACGCTTCTCCTTGAAGCCGCTGAGTTCTCCTCGGGATTGGGGAAAGCAGGACCAGCCCATCGTGGAGCTTACGGGAAGCCCAGCCAGGAATCTGCCCGGTGGTTAATCCCCCCACTTTCAGGAATGGCCATAAGGCCCTGCTCAGCTGGTTTTAGAGGGCAGCCAGCCCCTGGTCTGCGGGGCGAGGGAGGAGAGGATGCAGGGCACGGGTATTTCTCTGCACACTCCACCTCGGGTCCGATTTGGGGGTTGGTGGTGTTCAGGTCCTCCCCCAAAAAATTGTCTGGGTGTTTTGCCAGGCATTGCAATCCCCAGACATCCCTGATGCCGCCAACTTGGGTTTCTGTCCTCATCATCATCTCCAGGGTGGTCCCAGCTGCACGCTGGGGGCTCCCTAAACACCCGGCCCCTCTCTTCCCCCTGCCGCCTGCCCTGGCAGCAGGTGACAGCCTGAGCCCTGCCACGTCCAGGGCCGCGGCGGCAGAGCTGGTGGCATGCCGTGCCGCTCTATTTCTGCAGCTGCGTTGGTCACTGGTGTCACGTTTTTGCTTCAGCTGCAGCAGCAGCAGGGTCCCTCCCTGGGCTGTAGCCGGCAGCAGCACCCTGACCCCAGCACCGTCCCCAGCACAATGGGGCACGGTGTGTGGTCCTCTGTAGCATGGGACATGGGGCTGAGATGTGGCTTTCTCCTGCTTGTAAGGATATCATCTTTTCCAACCTAAACGATTCTATGATTCTATCTCTGGAGGCTTTGTTTTGGAAGATTTGTGCACTCTACCTTCGCTCCAAAGAGAGTTTTCACTCTGTGACTGAGGATTACACCTGTTTCTGGACACCAGAAATAGCGTGATCATCCCTGCGGCTCCTGGAGCTCGGCTCAGCTTTGTCTGGCTGAGCATGGCGGGGGGCGGGTGCCGCCCTCCTGGGCCGTGGGGTGGGAGGTGGGTGGCAAGGGGAGGGCAGAGCAGTTGTACTGGGCAGCAAAACAACCCCCCCAGGAGGTTTCACCATCAGCATGGGCTGAATTCCCCAGTGGGACCACGCTGGCATGGTGCTAACATAATGCCATGGTGCTAACATAATGCCATAATGTCTCTGCTTGCGGGGAGAGAGACCCAGATACCGCTTTGGAGATACAATGGGACCAACATTCGCTGCGGCTGTGACAGGGAAGCGCACGCTCAGCCCTGGGCGTCAGCACTGCTGCTCTCCAGCGGGATTGTGATCCCTTCTGACAAGGCATCACAGGCAGCAGCCTGGGTCCGACCGCACTGGTCTATCCATATCCCAGCACATGGATCCCTTTGGTAGCCCTCTACGGTAGCTGGTGGTGCAGCCGTAATGAGAAGGTCCTCCATGCCACGTGTCTTGGTGCTTTGCACGTGAGGGCAGAAGATGGACGGAGTCCCGCAGGACCGTTCTCCGAACACCGCGGGGCATGGCAGATCAGGACCTGTGCAGCTGGCGGGGATGGACTCGGCTGGTGGTTGGCAGCTCACGTCTATGGATGGCCAAGGGTCTATGAGATAAAGTGAAAGATATTAAAGCACTTGGCTACAGCTGAGAGTTCAACTTTGCTTTTTGTTGGCTGTTCATAAAACTATCATGGTCAAATAAGTGCTTGGTGTAAGCAAAGGGCAGAAAATCACCTCTTGAAGAGCAGCCAGACTTGCTTCCCCTTGGCCAAGAGCTCAGCAGCCCTCGTTGTCACTTCTACACTTCTAGCTGTTGCTGAAAATGTTGTCTTTTCCCTCCAGGCCCCTCCTGCTCACTCCCCGCTGGGCTCTGGGGGTGCGCGTGGCCAGGGGGTGGCAGCGCCCGCGGTGCCACCCTGCTCCTGCTGAGGACGTGCTGCCCTGCTGAGGACACAATCCCATCCAGAGCAGGGTTGCTATAACGAAGACATGGGATGTGAAAATAAAAGGGACAAGAGACTTAGGGTAGCTTAAGCCACAGCTGCAGAGCGCCCATCAGGATGGCAGGCCCTCCTTCCATGCCCGGACAGGTGGTCGTAGCCCCACGGCCGCCTCCTCGCCCTCCTGCGCTGCTCGC